GGGTTAGGATGGTTTCGGGACAAGCCGCAGGCTGCTGACGTGGCGCTGAGGAATCAAATGGTGGATATGATGGACCCGGAGAACGGTTGAGTGTTTGGTTCTTGTTTCGGATGATTCCGATTTTGTGGAGGTTTTGAAGGAGGCAAAATTGAGGTGTTTGAAAACAGTGGTTGTGGGTGATTGTAATGAAGGTGCTTTAAAAAGGACAGCTGATGCTGCATTTTCTTGGCAGGAGATTATGATGGGGAAGGCTAAAAAAGAAGCTGTATCGGTTGTTGGGAAATGGAAAGATAGAAATGTTTTGCAGAGATTGGAGTGGAATTATGATCCCGAGACGGAGAAAAAATTGTACTGTGATGAAATTGATGGTGAAAAATCGGATCTTGAATTGTTTAGGTCGGATGAATCTGGTTCTTTGTTGGAAGAGGAGGAGAATGATGGTAAGTGGTGGGAATTGGAGAAATGAGTGGGAAAAGATCTCGGAATGATTAACGAACGTACGAATATGCAATGGTGTGAGGGGTGACAAATCTTGGTCGTATTTTAGTCTGAACAAAGGAGACAACAAAGTGTTTTAAGTCGAAATGTGAGGAAATTTAGGTTTTCTCGAAAGAGTTAATCTCAGTTGCATGTGGTTTAATGGAATGGGGCAGTGCTAATTATGTGTCGGTACATTTTCCTGTAGCTGAATAAGACGTTGGATTCACAGTCTCGCATAATATCGTTGGAGCTAACTCGTCGCTATTCAATCTGATGTTTGTGCTGATAGCTTTTTTCCGGTGTAAGTTCATTTTCTTTGTTGCTTATATATATGTATATATATGCATATACGCACACGTTTATCCGTTTTTAGAAATTGGCATGAATATAATTAAATAGGGTAAGATTTATCTACTATATGAATCCAAATAGACGAGACTTTACGTTTGCTGATGAATGCCGTTAGAAATCTACAAGAGTCCCACCAAACTTAATTAAGGCTTTCACCGTGTAGATTGAAGAAGGTGGTGTTTTTTTTAAGATAGGTATTAATATTCGGCAACGGGAAAGATGCGAAATTGGTTGAAGTAAGTTCCATTTAAATTGTTCTGGCATCGGTAGTTGGTGTTTTCCTTTTCCTTCACTGTGTGTCTGTGTGGTTTTGATGACCTACTTATAAATCTTGTTAGTACTGCTGGAGAATAGCAACCCTCATTAGGGTACTTTATGATTTGAGTAGTGAGGGGCAAAATGGGAAGAAAAAACATTAGTAAGAGTGGTTGGTCATAAAAACACTGTAAAGAATGTCTTTTCATGTGAAAATTTGTGGTCCTAAACACATATTAATGTCTACTTAGAACATCAACTGATCAGACATTCAAACTTTTTTGTTGCTCCTTATAATAAATTAATTTAAATAGGTAATAACTTGGTACAATTTGAATTAAAAAATGCCCTCTTTAACTAATTTAACCCAAATTTAAAATAAATAAATAAATAAACCCGGACCACAAATTTTCACATTAATGGGCAGTTGCCAATATTTAATGGGAATTAAATTGGTCATTAAATGTAAATATCATGTTAAACTAACAATGTCAACAATTGAATGAACACTTTTACTTTGCCAGCAAATTTCTTGTGATTCTTCTTCCTATTACAGTCAATACCTTTTATTGCTAGATATCCAAACACTGATAAATCTTTAATACAGTTCATCTCATTTTCTTGTAGCTTATGTAATTCTACTATTTCTCTAGTTGGGTACTCATAATTCAATTCTCGGAATTAAATAACACCCCCTCGTCGTTTTACATCTCCAATATTTTTCCGGTTCTATATATAACCCGTTTTTAACAAGCATGAAAAGGTAACATCAGTGAAACAAAATAAAAAGACAACTCTCGAGTACTATATAGTTTCTTGTCTGTCTCTTAAAAGGTATGTGATCTTGTTTTCAATTTACTAGTTCGATTGAGTTCGTTTTTGTTATTATTAACATGAACTTTTTTTTTTGAATTTGCAGAAAATGAATTACAAGGATGAGAGCCCGAAACTTGAGTTGCAACTGAGGCTATCCCCGCCGAGGGATCATCAGCGGCAAATGATTCAGTCGCCGGAGTATTCTTCGACGGAGATATCTCCGAGAAGCTCGTGTGTGTCACGAGAAGCGAGCCCAGATGGGACCGTGTGCTTTGAGAGTGGTACCATGATACTTGTGGGGTGCCCTCGATGCCTGATGTATGTTATGTTATTCGAAGATGATCCGAAATGCCCCAAGTGTAAGAGCACCGTTTTGCTTGATTTCATGCACGATGAGACGATCAGAGGATTCAAGAAATGAAAACTGCATAATCTTGATTTATTTGATTTTCCTTTGAATTCTTGGGTTTCTTTCACCATTTATTTTTCTTCTGCTTATTTAAATCCTTTTTGTGGTTTCTTTGGTCTGATATTCTGTTTGCTGTTGTGGGTTTTTGAGAGTTTTTATTTATTTATTTATTATTATTTTTATTTTTTTTATTCAAGAGTTTGCCTTGGATGATTGGTTTTGTATTGTATCTCAACTAGGGTTGGGACTGGGTTGGTTTTTAACCACCAACCGACCCATTACCGACCATATTTTTAGGCGGATAATCAATTTTTAACCGACCCATTGGATCGGGTCGAAAATTTCAACCAACCCATCTATAATGGGTCGGTTGGTGGTTTCTAATATTACCAAAAGTTGGTTGACCGATAATTATCGGTCATCCAACTATACTATTAAAATTTTATTAAAAATATAAAATAAAGGCCGTATTTTCTTAAGTGGTTATTGAAATTATCAAAATAATTAGTATTCTAAAATTTAAAACAATCAACAAAGGAAAAAAAATGACCTAAATCTTCAACCAGTTTCTTTATGCCCAAGCTTAAACAAAAACCCCACAAAACTTCATTAAATCGCTTGTGCATGTTTGAAATTACTTTGAATTTCCTAATTATATTTTTTCGTTAAATTGTTATTAATTATTTTGAACTGATAGATGATGATCGCACCGTGCCATTACGCAAAATTTGGATATTTTTACTCCAAAATTATATTTTTTTTAAGTGAACTAGGTGGCGGGTATAAACCATCAACCGACCCATTCCAAAACCAAATATTCGGTTGCCAACCATCAACCGACCCACAAAGTTGGGTCGGCAACGGTTTTCAAATTTGAGCAAAAATGGTTTGACGGATGGGTCAGTTTTTAGGCTGGTAATCGACCGACCCAACCCAGTCCCAGCCCTAATCTCAACCATGCCTTGAACCTAATCTGGAAAATTATCAATTGACAAACAAAAGCTAATGATAAATTATCAATGGGAAATTATATTAATAATTAATAATTAATAATCAATCAAGTATAAAATTTTTTTTTGAAGCAATGGTACATAGAACAAAAAAAGAGTACACCACTCCAATGATAATAAACAATAAACACTGTTTTGAATCCCCTCGTCAAAAGTCGCTAGATCGAGTTTGTCACACATGTTTAGCCAGTGTGGTTTATGCAATGTTGTCAAATCGAAAACCATGCATACAATTTGGACAAACTATTTCTGGTGAATTATCTTCGTTTTCATCGTCGGAATTCCGACTCCGGTCACTTTGGCCGCCGGATGACGTCATCTCCTCCTGGGGGTTTGTGAGAACCGATTCTCGTTTGATTTGCATTGATTTTGATTGTTTGTTGGCTGAGCCTGAAAAATTCCTAGTTTCTTCTACTTCCCTTACTATGTATATATAATGTTCAAAAGTAATAAAGACCTAATCAAGTCAAAACCTTAATAAATTAGGACTACTAAATATATTAAAAAAAGGAGAAAAAAAAAAGAAAATGAATTAAATAATAATTTAAACTGATTTTAATTCTTGATTATTTACTTAATTTTATTAGGGTAATATCTTGATTCTTTACAACGTATGATAGTAGAAGTAGAATTCTTTATTTATGGTATTTACTAATTATACCTACGTCCATGTCTATATAAGCACACAAAGTGCTGCAAATAAATCAAGTCAAAACCTTAATAAATTTTTTTTTTTTTTTTTCTTTTCTTTTCTTTTCTTTCGTGTTCGAAAATTTCTCCGTAAAAGCACACGTCATCTTCAATGGAAAATTATTCAACTACGTGTGTCACCATGTTCGCAAAATCAATCGACATGATTTCGGAGAACAATGACGAATTAATAATCGATGTCTCCGTTTGGACAGGCTTTCTCACGACGAATCGTGTAGGAGAAGAAGAGATTCCGTCGCTAATCCATTGGGAAAGTCAAAGCAAGTCCCGATTCCGAAAGCCACTGCAAAAACTCCTCTCGGAAAACCAACCGGATACTTTTTTGTCGGAAATAATCCAAAGAATTGGAATCCCATTCACCCTCGAGAATATCCACTGGGGATGCGACGGCTTTCCGGCGGACCCCACTTACGAAACCCTAGAAGAAATCATCACCTACCGATTATCGAAGATTGCTAGAGACTGCGCCGCTGGTCGGGAAAGCCCATGCATGCAATTTTTCATCCGGAAGGCGGAGAAGGTGTCGCGGGAGGAATATAAACAATTGCTACTTGATGAAAAGGAAATAGTAAGCAATCCCCTACAATTACGAAAACACCCTTTGCATGACTGGATAGTTGAGAACGAGAACAACGTGAAGTTTCGCATGGAATGGTGTCTGGGGTTTATACGCAAACTCGAGTTGGAATCGACGGAGGAGAATAAAAATTTCGGGGTGAAATCGGTGATTATAAAAGAAGATGATAATCCATTCTTTGGATTATTAGACGAGGAAGAAATTATATGTTGTTCGGTATGCATTAAGGGTTTGAAGAAAGGGACGCAAGCTATACGATTGCCGTGCTTGCATATCTTCCATGGATTCTGTATTTTTCGGTGGCTTTCCGAAAATCCAACGTGCCCTATATGTCGATTCGAATTGTTCTCGCTCGGTGAAAAAGCCAGGATTTTACCTTCGCACGAGACATATATACAATAGATGTTATCGGGTAGTGGTCGAAAAATAATAAATCCCTATATGAAAATTAAATAGTATATTTTTTAGAAGTTATTTGATCTTTTTAAGAGATACAAGTTATTGTTTTTTTGGCCTTTTCTTTTCTTTTCAATGAAACCTAAATTGAATTTAACTATTTTGAAGATATACTACTATTTTGAAGATATACTGTAATTGTATATGGGATATTAAAAAAAAATAAAAAATCTCTGGACTTAATTTATTATGTCGTTGCAAACAAAAACCACTTCCGCGCGGCTTACAATTATTGAACGTGTTTAAAATAAAATTTAAAGAAAAAAGAAAATCGAAAAACAAAAAAACGGAAATTAATTGCACCCTCTAGCTATGTATGGATGTTATTTTGAAGCAGCCTGTTCTTCAGGCCCACAGTAAACAAGGAACAGAGGAAGCAATCGGAAAAATTGTCCCATCGGATGATACTTTTCTCTAGGGTCGATGGGGCCCACTTAAAGTCGTATGAGCTTGAAAATGACTTAAAACGACACGAAAATGTGGGACCTGGTCTAAATCATCAGGCAGCAATCTGACTAAATAGACTCTTGCGAATCTGCAATCATATACAAAATGTAACATTGTCAATAATATGACCCTTACACTAGTCGAACAGATTGAAATATAGCTAATTGGATCGATCAAACATGTTCGAGAATTTTCTCCCATGCAACTAACTCCCTTCGTCTTTTTTTCTTTTTCCTTTAAATAGCAATTTCCTTATGATATATCTATTTGGACATGGATTGATTGAGAATGTTGCATATAAAGAAAGTTGCAACAATTACAAAGAGTATGTTAATAAAGAAAAGTTACGTTGAAAAGAGTTTACCTCTGGCAATTTTTTACGGAAGACAACATCAAGTCTAGCATCAAGAGTGTTCTCGAACACGATTTTCCCATCCCTCGAAGCCAACACCACACCACCAGAGCTAAGAAAACCAAGACAAGAGAAAACGTCAATATGTCGTAAAGCATTTAAGTAATCATCATTACTTTAGTTACTACAACTTCTTATCTATGGTAGCCGAATTTCATTACCAGAAACGGGCATGTTCGTTTTGATTCGAAGGAGCAGGTGGAAGGTGGACATTGTCGACTATGATCTCAGGTGCATGAACTTTTGCCTTGTCAGCATACTCACCCTTTGCCGAGTCCAATACAGACTCAACCAAGTGTAGATCCTCTTTACGACACCGCAATAACACCGATGGCTCTTTTAGCCTCAACAAACTCTACGTTGCAACAATGTATATACATTTTTTTAGCAAACCGAAATCGAAAAACATAAAGGCAACTAAATGTCGCCGAAAATTGATAAGTATCCTAAATTCCTAATTGAATTGAAACTTTAAATTAATCACCCCCATCGGTTAATCATTTTTTCATCATGATACATACAAAATTATCCAACTTTAAATATGAAGCTATGGTTATTGATTAGAGAAGCAATGTTCCTAATCAAATTCGCACAATTTATCGGGATTCAGTTTTGTACCTGAACAACGAGATCCTTAAGCAGGCGTTTGTAGTTACGATGGTCTCCACTAATATTCAAAAGCTCCTTTGCTGCAGCTTCCTTCATGGAATTGACCAAATCGTCTTGAGCTTGAAGGACTTTGATTCGAGAAGCATTCAGTTGCATTGAGTACTCACTAAAACAAATAGAATTTCATCGAAATTTTAATCAGATGACAGCCGAAAAATCAGATAAATCATACGATACACACTCAATTTTAAATCTAGACCCCCACTTAAAATCGGAAAATAATGAAATCCATCGTCATCGATTATCAGTGAGACACCTACAATGTACGGATTTACCCAATTGGGATTAGGGATTCTAATCAGATTCTCGTCTATAATCAAGTTACTTGATGAAATGCTCAATATTTGGCTTCAATCGTCCACATATTAGAAAACAGAGAAAAATAAAAATAAATTTGACGAAAAAAAAAACGATAAATTTTACATTTTTTTGCGGACTTCAACTTGTTTCTCTTTGCGCTCGTACTCTTGTCTGATCTTTTTCTTCTCAGCTTCCACCAATTGCAGCTTCTCGATATTGAATTCCTACAAAACAAATAAAAAAATCGGATCAGCCCCAAAAAATTGCGAAAAAAAAAATTAGGGGAAAACGCCGATTAGGTAACAGGGAATTCGTACTTCTTCGGCGGAGACGGAGATCTCGTTGGCCTTTTCCTCAGCTTCTTGACGGATGAAGCGGACCATCTGCTGGATCTGCTTCGAAACGTCGGTGTCGTTCATCTTGGATTCGAATCGGGTTTCTGAAAAACGGGTTTGGGTTTTTTTGTTCTTTCTTCCTGAATAGAAGATCGATGATGAAATTGGAGAAGGCCGGGACTCGTGAGACAGATGGTTAACAGTTTTTGTCTTTTTTTTTCGTTTAAATAAATAAAATGATCTTTTTGATTTTTAAAATCGTGTTTTCCTGCATTAACGTTTTTTATTTACGAAACTCTTATTGGACTCAAAATGTATATAAAAAAAAAACAAAAATTGTGACTTGTTTAATTGACATTAAAACCCAAGTCCATTAACAGAAATCGGTCCAATAACTAGAAAAAGGCTCAAAATTCGTAATTAATTATAGGGTACATTACAAAAGCCCCCCTGAACTTAGGCTAAATAACGAAAAACACTCCCACCTCTCTGTAATAACTTAAATCCGCCTCTGATTAACTGTTGATCGAGTTTTTTTAACAGAAAATATGTACAGTCTATTATACCTTCTGTTAAAAATGTGAGAAATAAAAGAAAATATATGAGATTGTGTAAAGTCTATTCCCTAAAATAAAATAAAAAATCGTGAACAATGACACTGTAAGGGGGTTGGTCATTGGTTTAAGACGGAAACAAACCTAAGGGGGTTTTTGGTAACTACGAATAAGTGGAGGTGGTTTTTGTAATTTAATCTAAGTTTAGGGGGGGGGTTTAGTAATTTACCCTTAATTATAATCCGAGCAAAATTACTTAGTCCGTTAACATTAAAATTTTCGTCTCTCAAGTTTACATCGGTTTCACATATGGCCTCCATGTTCACAAAAAACACATCCGGTCCCTTATATTCAACAATTGACATTTTTTTTATTTTTCGTCAATTTATCGTTAGTTCTTCAGTTAAGCGGTATGATGGGACACATGCTTAATTTTCGTTACTAGTAACGAAAATGACTAAAAAAAATTATATTATTTGAAATATTGAGGGACTAGAATCTAAATTTTTATGGACTATGAGAGACCAAATCTGAAATTTTAGATAAACATGAGGGGGGGAAAAATGTAATCCTTCCCAATTCAATCCCTTAAAATAAGCGGTGATTAAAATTTAAAAGTCAAGTCAAAGTAGATTGAAAGTGTCTTCACTGTTGAAGCAAGCGAAGTTTCAATTTATGAGTTGAAAGATTTGATTTTGATTAACTATTAATTAATCATTGTATAAGGCATAAGCTACTAATATATAGTTTTTATTAACTTTTTTGATGTAGTTGATTAAAGCACGAGCAATCAGTTATAAAATACTCCATCAAAAAAAGAACGTGCGAAATTATTTGAACCGTCAAACACAAAATGCTAAATTTAAGAACAATAATGGAAATAAGTAAGCAACAATTTTTAAATTAAAAAATATTGACTTCTGCCCCCCAAAAAAATTGAAAATATTGACTTCACCCCCATTATTTAGCAGCCGTATTCAGACCGAGTCTCCTCTCTCTTTCCTCAGTCACCATTTAGTAACATCATTCCATTTTTCTCGTGTTTCAGTCAAACTAATCAAACGCGTTCAAACACGTACATTAATCTTCTTCTTAATTAATTAATGTTAATTAATTAATCACGCTTTTGTCTGAACTGAAGTTCTTTTCGATTTAATTAATGGTGTTAATTACCACAATTATTTGTTCATCCCCCCCACACTTTCCAGCCTTCTTCTTTGTTCTGAACTTTGATCACATATAAAAACTGCATCTCTCTTCCTCACTAATTCAGTACTCAATTATCCAGTTTTATATTTTCTTTTTCTTTTTTGTTTTTTTAATTAATATATATCTATTTCCCAAACATGCCTTCTATTAACAGTGATGATTTTATTACAAAACCTATAAAAATCCGAGAAGTGTGGTCCCACAATCTAGACTCCGAATTCGAGCTCATCTCCGATCTCGTCGATCGTTACCCGTTTGTCTCGATGGATACGGAGTTTCCCGGAGTTATTTTTAAGCCGGCGCCGGCGCCGATGAACTCAAACCCTCGCCGCCGTGGACCAGTTCCGCCGCCGCGGAGACCCTCGCCTTCCGATAACTACCGGATGATGAAGCGCAACGTGGACGCTCTGAACCTCATTCAGCTAGGACTCACGCTCTCCGACGCCGCCGGAAACCTCGCCGATCTCGGATCCGGCGAGAGCTGCATCTGGCAGTTCAACTTCTCCGACTTCGACGTGGCGCGTGATCCGCACGCGCCGGACTCGATCGAGCTGCTGAGGGCCCACGGGATCGACTTCGAGAGGCACCGCGCCGCCGGGATCGCGTCGGCGCGGTTCGCGGAGCGGATGATGTGCTCCGGGCTGGTGTGCAACGACGCCGTCAGCTGGGTGACGTTCCACAGCGCGTACGACTTCGGGTACCTGGTGAAGATTCTCACGCGCCGCTCGCTGCCCCGGAGTCTGGTGGAGTTTCACGGGGTTCTCAGGGTGCTCTTCGGGAACAACGTCTACGACGTGAAGCATATGATCCGGTTCTGCGACAGCTTGTACGGCGGGTTGGACCGGGTGGCCCGGAGTTTGAACGTGAACCGGGTCGTCGGGAAATGCCACCAGGCCGGGTCGGATAGCTTGCTTACGTGGCATGCGTTTCAGAAGATGACGGAGGTGTATTTTGTGGAGCGCAAGCATGAGAAATACGCCGGTGTGTTGTTTGGATTAGAAGTTTACTAAACAAATCGCTCCCGGATTTTTAGGATAATTATTCATTTGTTTATAATTTAAAAATCATTTATTAATGATAAAGTAAAATAAACTATTCTTTATGATTTATCAATGTGAAATTTTTAATTCCGACACGGAAATAACGATATGGGAAACGA